CAGAATAGCGATAGCATACTTTAAATACATTTTCTGAAAAATGTTGATTTTGAGAAACTCGCACAGTAACACACATTTCAGAAAAAAAAATTAAAAAAGAATTCTTTGAAACTCTGTATTTAGTACTTTGTATTTATTACTTATTACTTTGAACTATCTATTCCAAAGTAATTATTCAGTTATTATATTATAAAAAAAACTGCAATTTTCACCTTGAATACAAAGCCAAGTTTAACTCATTGAATAGCTAAGAATAGCTAAGGTTTTAAATTAGAGCTCCTCTAGAACTTAATTGATTATTCTAATATAACACAAATATAAAATTACTTTTAAATTGCATTGAACGTTTGGCAATTTTTACTTACTTGATCCTTTAATAGATTTTCACAAATAAATTGACAAGTTTCATTCCAAATTACAACGCAATCTAAAAATAGAGGATTTTTTTAAAGAAGAAATAGTAAGAATAATTCTTAATGCTTGCAATCTGTGATATGTCAATTTATTTCACGTGTTACTAATAACAATCAGAAATTTTGAAATTTTATTCCTTTTAGATAGATTTGTATGCTTTGAAATATCCTCTAAGAGTTACAAAAACTATTCACATTTATTTCGTTTATTTCTCTCAAAATTGTCTTGAATAATGTCAGGAAACGACGCAGTTCCTTTCAAGGTGAGGAAAATGTTTGATAATTTGAGATGTTTAGAATAATTGTTCAAGAAGCAACATAAGCCACAGAAAAATTAGAGTTTATTCTTTTTTAATAAAGTATAATTTTTTAAATCTTTAATATGAATCTATAGGGAAATAAATCAGATGAATCCAATCTTTTTTACATTTTTAAGTTTATTTTTATGAATTATTTGGCATTACAAATTACATTACTAATAAAAAGTATTTTTTTTTTCATTTTTTATTGTTAAAGATTGAAATTGCAATTCATGATTCAATATAAACAATTTGTGAACCAAAATTCTTCAAATAAATTGTTCCGTACACTTAATGTTACTCAAAAAATAATAACTGTAAAGTAAAAATGAATTATATTTAAACAAATAATTGTGTGAAAAATTTTAAAATTATTTTTAATTTGTTACCATACATTTACAAAAGGCAACGTGATAAGAGTTTGTTTGGTCATAACAATTAGTTTCAAACATATTTTTCAGCTCGATCAAAAAAGATTCATTTTACGATCGTCACCCATTTTTCTAGATCTGAAAATAAAAATATAGAAAAAAAAATTCTTTTCACTCTCATCAGACATGCTTCCATTACTAAATTAGAAAAATAAAAGGTCGAAAAAACTTTGACTTAACTGTTTAACTGGAACCTTCTCTTATTAAAAGAGAAAAATAAAGGGTCGAAAGAACTTTAGCTTAGCTGTTTTCAATTATCTTTCTCTTACTAAATCAGAAAAATAAAAGGTAGAAAAAACTCTTTTTCTTATGTGTTTTCAGGCATCTTTCTCTTACTAAACCAAAAGACAAAGAGGGCCAAATTGTATTTATATCTTAGGGTTTTTTAAGTTTTCTGTTGTAACTTGCAGTAACTTTGGAACCTTATTTATTGTATAGTTATCAAACTTATTTTAGGCAGTAAAAAGTTAAAATTCTTCAAGTCTCTGTAATTAAAAGTTTCCTAAAAGTTAAAAGTATTTTTTGTTCTATATTTATCAGTAGTTAATAGATTATAGGCAGTTTTAACTCCTTAGCCTTTCATGAGGAATCCATTAAAAATAAAACTGGTCAGAGCATAGAATTTTTAGTCGTAATTTTTTTGTAGCACTTACCTTGTTCATGGAAAAAATACCGTGATGTGAAGTTTTTAGTAAATGTTTGTTTTATCATACATATAGTGCATAAATATAAATTCTCTGCCTAATTGATATGAACTTTAATTTACTCTCCTAAATTTGAAAGTAAATGCAATTTTCTCAGTTATTTTAGTTCAATTTTCTTAATTCTAATGGTAGAAATTAAACTAAATTTTTGCAAAAGTTTATATTAATACCTAAAAAAATATTTTTTTCTAACAGAAAGGACTGACTTAGGACATTCCAATATAACACCAAAAATATTTTTAGCTGCTTACCAAATGCTTAAAAACAAAGTTATAGATTTAACTTTTAATTATACGATTACTTGATAATATTTTTAACAAATAACATATATTTCTCCGTGGGAAAGAGATTTAGAATAAAAAGATAGCATTTTGATGCATATGCAAATGTAAATGTGTTGAAACTACGTAATTATTTTAACAGAAAATAGATGAAGTAAGTTTCTTAAATAGATATTTTCATCCTTAAATTCCTTAAACAAATAAGAACATTAAACATTTTTTTATGTTTAACGATATATTTTTGTAAAAAAAAATGCTATGAACATATGAAATACTTGATAGTCTGAATCGCGTGACAATCACATCGCAGATAGTTGTCCCCCCCCATAAATTTAGCAACTTAAAAAGCTCCATCCTAAAATTCAATGAAAGAAGTTTTTAATAGTGTTAATTATTTTAAGAAATAGATAAGTAAATCGCTAAAGAAATAAATTTTTAGTGCATATAAATTAAGTAACATAATGAATCAAATTTAGCCCCAGTTAATATTATTTGTTCCCACTTTTGAGAGTTTCGTTAAAAAAATTTATTTTAAATCATGTTTTCTTGTTGCAATTATGCTTATAACTAAAATGCTAATTTCTTACAAATTATAATTACTGGAGTCAGAAAAAAATTATTTTTAAAAAAATATTCGAATAAACTTCTCAGGATAATTTTCATAACTGGTTGATCACTCACCCTTAACGTTATTATTTGTTACTCAAACAAGAAGATTCAATGGATGCTTTCCTTGAAAAGTTTAACAAGGAAAGATAAGAGAGATGAAAGAGTTACCTTCTATTGTCAATCCTTTTCCTATAGAAGTGTAAGGAAGTTCCTGAGCTTCTTTAAGGATTGCATCAATAGATTTCATTCTCGATGTCTCAAGTAGAAAATTCAATGAATATCTATTAGAGGAAAGTTCATAGATAAAATAATGTTTGTTTTTATAACTATTGAGCCTTTAGAGTTTTTATAACTATTTTAACTGTACAATAATTCATCAGATTATAATTTTTTCCCCTCAAAACTTAGATAATTATCTTAGTCTTAATGTGTGAGATTTTGAAACTAATTAAAAACATTTATTTTTTAGATTTTATTAAATATCAAAACTGTAAAAAGAATGATAAAGAATGAGATAAGTAATAAGTGTTCTGAAATCAACATTAAGCAATATTCTCAATTTATCAGTTACGAAACATTTAAAATAAAAACACATAAAATAATAATTAAATTTTTTAGCTATAGTTTAACTTAAAAATATGTTTTTTATTTCTATTTTTAGTGCATGCTGTGATAAAGTTTGAAATATAATATAATAATTTTACAATAACTTTTATAATCATCAATTTTATAATTATGAAATTCATAATTTTTATAATTATGAAATTCATAATTTTTATAATTATGAAAATTAATAATTATGAACAGATTATACCTTCAAATATTTTAAGCTGACCATTTTCTTTTAATGAAATTAAAAATTTATAACATACTCCATTTTAAATGCACTGCAAATGACAAAATGAATATATTACTGCTATGACTAATATTACTAAATCACTGCTTTAGATATTAATTTTTTAAAATAATTATGTGATGTAAGATGCTAATAATAAAAGTATGTTTTATTTTACATAAAGTTTATATTTTTTATTTAAAATAGGCTAAATAAACATTTCTGAATTTTGAATAGAATAAAGTTTTTATTTATTTTTACTCTTATAAGTTTGATTTATTAAAAAACTACTCTTTGAGTTTAAATAGTTTAAAGTAGAATCTGAATCATATTACTTACTTACATTTGAAACAGAATGTTTTCTTAATGCACAATAGGAAATATTTCTTATTCTTAACATCTTCCTTATAATTGTATGTTTAATGAGTAACTATAGAAACTGAAGGAATTCGTAACCATGGAAATAAGTTGTCTTACAAATTATCAAATAATAAATCTGTCCTAAGTTCCTATCTGAATATTTTTTGAAACAGATTGGTTTTACTTTAAATTGTTTTTAACAAGATTTTTCAGATTGCGTAATTTAAATTGTTTACATAATTTAGAGATGTAAATATTTATAAATATTTAACTACTAAATAATTTTAAGTTACTTTTAACATTTCTTTCATTGACAATGCAATCTACATTGCTTTTTTTTGCAAAAAAATGCATTGTAGTCTGCAAAGCAATGCATTTTTTTCAGTTTTTCTGTTTTTATTAGTTTAAGAGTTTAGTAATAATTTGTTTTCTTACATTATTTTATTAAGAATCATAACACACTGAGATCTATTTTCAATTATATTATTTGCTAGTTTAAAATGCTAAAAATTACCATTTTGTCACATTTTTATCTGATACTGCAAGCTCTAAAAATAATTGGATTATTTTTTTCTCTAGAGAGATTGAGTAAATAGCATCATTAAACAACAAAAAATAAGAACAGAAAAAGGATATACATTTTTTGAAGAAAATCATTTAATTGTTTTGCACTTCATTTTAACTGTTCAATTTGTGAGTAGAATAATATTTTAATTGTTTAGTTGGATCCTAGTTTATCATGTTTACAGATTTAAAAGTGAGTAAAAATAATGAAATCACCTCCTCTTTTGCAGAAAATCATTCAATATCATGTCGGGTGATTATTTCTTATGAAATGAGATAGAAAAGTTTTAAAAAATACGAAAGAATAATGGAATTGTTTACAATTAATTATTTGCTATCCACGTTTTTTATTTGAAGTCCTTAACTGTCATTTAGTTAATAAAACAAAAATATAGTTTAAAGCATACGTTTTACTTTAACTTTACAATTTATTTTTTCTATAGTGTCTTAGTTTGTAGTTTGAAAAAACGTTTCTCAATTTTTTGGCGAAAAAAACAGAAAATATTTAATTTGTACAAAAAATTAAATAAGTTTATTTTTCATCAACATGAGAATGAAATATACAGTCATAACTTATACACAAAGAGTTTCCTTTCACACAACTTTTTACTCTGTTTCAGCCCCATGAGTCTTCACTATTCCAATGTACACGTTTTCGTTGATGAAAGAGACTTTGGTCGAGCTCTCATTGTCTTCATATCCAATTTATATTTCGCCAGTGTTCCTGAAAAAAATGAACTTCTCACTTAATTTATGTTATTTCAAAAGAAAAAATTATAATTTTGGTTAATTTCTCAAAATAAATAATTTCGTTTCTTTACAAACAAAATAGTTTCTCCATAAATTTAAATTTATTCATTCTCTCTTAATTAATTAATGAAATGAATATTTCAGTTCTTCAAAAAATTCGCTAAATTTGAAAGTAATGGATTTATGATAAATTTTTAATTAACTTATTGATATTTTTTCCAGTTAAATTAAAAGACTGGTTTTTCGTAAAAATGAAGAAAAAATAATGAAAAACATGCTATTTTCTTGACGTTATTGGCATATATTAGTAATACGCATTTTTTAAACTAAAAGTGTCAAGTGCAATTTTGAAAAAGTATAAAAGGATTAATAAAAAAAATATTTTAATGTTAAATAAAGTTTTAATTTTTTTGTATTTTTATCCCTTTCAAAAGAACAAAAATGTAATTTTTTGAACTGAGTAAGCTTAGCGAGATATCATTTATCTTTATAACATCAATAAACTAAGTTTGCATCAATAAATTAAGCATCAATAAATTAAGTTTGAAATGTTGAATGAGTTTTGAATTGCAGTAATGCTGCGAATCAATTAAGAAACATCAAAAACTAACAGAATACGAATGTTTTATTTTGAATTTGAACATTAACATAATGAGTGTCTTGACTATATTAATTTTGGCGGGTGCATCACATTTACTTAGAGCCAATTTAAGGCTCAATTCTTATCAATCTAATTTTGATTCACCCTTAGATACACCATTTTCTCCTAAGGGTAAGCATAATATATCATTTTTATTATAGTTGCGACTAAATTAACTTTTTATATTGAGTCAGTCATAAATATGATGCTAGATAAACTAACATTTATAGAGCATAACTATACAGAATCAATATAAGCTTTCACTATCAACATCCTAATTTCACTTTCTCTGGTGGTACGCATGAAATGCCATTTTTAAATTGTGATTAAAAAGGAATGCCTTTGAATTGTTTGTGGTTTTTTTTAAAAATTCTTTTCGGTTTATTTCTAGATCACATTTGATTCATGATTAAAAAAGTGCCTCACATGTGCACATTTACCTGATTTAATGATGATAGGAGTAATATCCTGGTGCAGATGGCTTTGGCTCATAGATGGGAATGGCAACTTTAGGTTGGTAGACAGAGACAAGAGGTTTGTGAGCATAAGCTGGGGCTGCGTGAGCTACTTTAGAAACGTAGACTGGCTCGTGTGCGACAACAGCTTTTGGCACATAGACTGCAGCCTTTGGTGCGTAGACTGGCAAGGGTGCTTTAGCTACGTATACAGCTGGAGCAGGCTCATAGTGACCAGCACCATAAGAGGCAGCATATCCATGCTTTCCATTGTCATGTTTGTCATAAGCGTGGTGACCATGGTCAGATTTCAGGTGGCCAGAAGAGCCATAGCCGTATGATCCAGCCTTTCCGTGTGAACCGTATGCTTTATGTGCTGCCTGATCGTAATGGCCAGCATTCTGAAAAGTGCGATATTTCTTTTAATAATACAATTCATAGTAAGGCAAGCTAAGAATAAAATTTAAAACGAACTAATAAGCCTAGAAATATCAAAGACGGTACATAATATCAAGTAAAACTTTTAATACGTTTGAATGGCACTGTTCTTATGTAATAATTTGTTATAAATTTGAATTAGAAACTGAAATATAGTTTTAAGAAATCTGTGGCATAACTAGATAAAACGCATTTTACCTATATTGTGTAATGAGTGATCATAAATATTTAGAGTATCCACTAAAGTCCATGAAACAATCTCTTAACTTTCGAAGTTCTACAGCTATAACAAAGTGATTAGATGTAATAAAGTGATTATGAACTGCTCGATCTGGTGACAGAATGTTGAGTTAGCATTTCTGTCTTGGAAACGGTGCGAAGTATTTTATAATTAGCGCGGGTAACATATAAAATAGTGAATTTCAAAATTGTAGAAGAACAAAAAGACAATTTGTAGACCTGCTGAGAAAACGTTTGCAACTAGAATTTGCTTGCTTAGAATGTCTTTAATGTCATAGTGCGAAGCAATCTTTGGAAGAAAAAAAAGGAATTAATTGTCACCAGATATCTTTATTTCTTACTATCTAGCTTTTTATACTGCGAAAAAAATTAAGTTAAAAGAGAAAAAATGGAACTACTTGACTAGGTATTGTTCTAATGATCAAAATTTTACGCATTTGGACCGTAATTTAATAGTTGGATGGGGTGACATCAAATATACTAGTTAATGTGTGCCAACGATATTTTAAGTTATGAAATCTAACATAAAAACATATTTTGTCAGCATAAAGATAAATCTTTTCAACCGAATTAGATTCTTGACCTTTAAGAAAAAATCGGTAATCTGTTATAAGGTTAGTAGTTTGTAATAGTTAGTTGCAATCGAAAGTTTGAACCCCTTAATATTGACTTTATTTTTTTCGAGATTATAGCCTGAGGAATCTTTAAGCAAATCGAAAACTTATTGCACGCAGTAGTAAAATTTCTTTATCCGACGATAATTACACGCAAAAAACATTTTTTAATAATTATTTATAATTTTTATTATTTTAGCTCATTATAGTTGAAAAAATTTTGAGCTGAAGATGCAATTAATAATTTCAAAGAAATAATTTTGAAGAATGCAATTTAAAATAGTAAAATATGAAAATTGTAAAACTTGGTCGAATAGTTTTGGAAAAATGAATTTTAGAAGAATTCGATTGTTCAGACCTGTATATTTATACTTGCGCTCTAAGCTACAGCGATAAGCTATAGGGTTTAAAGTTATAGCAACATAACTAAAAATTAAAAAATAAACTACTGATTTAAGTGAAATTAACATAGATTTTAACTTAGCTCTGTTATGTTACATCTGACTTGTTAAAAATGGAGCACTTACTATTTGATATTGTCATATGTTAAGATGAGTTACCATGTAAAGGACGTCAAATTTAACATTACTACTCCATTACATTAAATATATTTTAACATTTTCTTACTTTATATCCATGGTGTCCATGATCAGCATGACTGTCATGATGACCAGATTTATGAGAGTCAACATCATGGAGATGAACTTGTTTATCATAAGAATAAGCTTTTTCATATCCATGTCCACTGTTTTTAACGTAGGCACCATGCTTGCCTAGAAACAAAATCACAAGAAGAAATAATTGTTATGTTACATCTTACTTTCTCATTTGTTAAAATTTGTTTTACATTTAACCAAAAAAAAAAAGGTTTTCCTAACGCTAAAAGGAATCTTTTAATTTTTAAAGAACATGAAAAAAGATTGAAATATTTCACATAGATAACAGAAATATTAAGCATCAATATTAAATATTTAACTTGTGGGTGTTAAAGGAAATGGGACATTAAATTTAAAAAAATTGAAATTACTAGTTTGAATTTAATAATTTTTAATAATTTAGTGTACATTAAACTCATAAGCTCGTAAATAAAAGAACAAATGTAATAATAATATAATAAATAAATGCGTTATTAAAATTTAAGATGAAGTAAATTTTTTATTATATTTATGTTACTATATGTGAATTATTGAACAAAAAAAACTCAAATTTAGATTAATATTTGTTAGAGTTTTCCTTGCAGTACAAGTAAAAGATTGTTCAACTACACTGTACAAAAACTCCGGATAAAATTACTGTAAAAAGTACTGGCATATTGAGTGTAGTCTCCGTAAAATCCATTTTTACTCTGAAATTTTTACAGTAGTATTTATTTCAAAACATTGATTTAGTAAATATTAACTCAATACTCGCCTATTATTGTATTGTATACATTTAATTTTAACGCTATCGTTTATCTAGATTATCAAATGAGTGCTATGATTAATTCAGGTAAATTCAATTATGAGCAAAAATGCCATTTTCTGAGTTCGAATCTAAACAGTTAAAATGCAAAGATTCCAAAATTCTTTAAGTTATATTTTTATTTAATTGTTTTTAATGAGTGCTTAAAAACTGCTTCTTCACATTTCTTTTACTTAATATATAATATATTATTATATATTTAATATTAGCATGCTTTTATGTATAATTATATGTATAATAATAAATAACTAATATTACTAATCACATAATATCAAATGATAAAAAATGCTTACCATAGTGGTCATGATGTCCTCCATGAGAGCCATGAGCTCCATGATCACCATAAGAGGAGATCAAATGAGAACCATGTTTGTCGTAGCCAGTCTTTCCATCTTCCCCATGGTCTGAGTAATGTCCATGTCCATGAGAGTCGTGTCCTTTGGACAAATGTCCATGTGATCCATAACCATGGCTACCGTGACTAGATGCATGTACTGGGTATACTTCATAATGAGGAGCACTTTCTTCTACGGCTAAGTCTTCTGATTTTTCTTCTGCTACAACAGCTGATATTAGCACAATGGCTAATGCGAAAACCTAGCGAGAACAGGGATTAATATTTTTTTAATATCTCTAAATTTTTAATACTTTTTTAATTGATATAACTTTTTAAGATTTTTTAATTGTTATTGTTTACATTTTGCATTTTTCCACTATTAGTTTAGTACTTTTAAATCTGTTGACCACTGTTTGGTTTTTATCCTTCATGCTTTTTTTAATATCCTTTATTACTCTGTTTTTTTTATTTTGCTTTATTTTTTTAATTTCCTAAAGTAATCTAATGTTCAGATGGTTTTCACGAATACCTTCACTATTTTGAACAGTTGTAATAATGTTTGCGCATTGCTTTTTTTCTTCTCATTTTTACTGTACTTTTAATAATTTATTAAATTTATCCTAATTTAAATATTTTTAACAAATTCAGTAATTTTTCAGTAGTTTTTTAATTATCTACTTTTTATTTTTTATTATGCTAAGAATTTTTAAAAGTTATTTATTATTACCGATATTTTCTTAAAAAAATTATTAATTCACTAACCGTTAAAGTATTTTCCGTTCTTTTCAATATCCTATACACATGCTTCTATATAGAAAAAAATTAACTTAGATTTCATTTTCATAAATTATCATAATATTATTGCACTTCCTTTTCTAAAAGACATCTAAAAACAACAATTTGCGTAAAATTAATATTTAATTGCATCTATAATTATTATCATTGTATAAAAATAGAAAAAAATAATATGATTTTATGAATGGTTTTATTTTTTGTTTAAACAATTAAAATATATCTAAGCAATTTTTTACACAAACTAATAAAATATCAAGTGTAAAATTGTTTTTTTAAAAAAGTATTACTTATTGTGAAATGAACAAGTTGATAAGCTTAAGTCAATGGAAAATCTAATAAACTTTCTTTCTTTTGGCGAATTTATTTTGTTTCAATATTTTTGTCGAAATTTAACAATTTAATGAATTAGCTAAATCATAATAATGATCTATAAATAATATATTAGTTTAATATATTTATATTTCTAAATAATATATTAGTTTAATATATTTATATTTCTAAATAATATAATAGTTTAATATATTTATATTTCAAAATAATATATTAGTTTAATATATTTATATTTCTAAATAATATATTTGTTAGGAAAAATATTAGCTTGCGCATTGAGGATCATTACCGTTTCTTTGAACCCTGTCTGAGTTACGATATGCTGCAAGGCTTGCTAATTAGCATTAATTTATAATTAAAAACATATTTTTCAAAAAAGATATTTTTTAAATAATATATAATTAAATCTTAAAAAAATTTATACACATTAAATATTGGTCAGTTGTATATTTTTTAGCATTTTAAAAGTTTTTACATATTAAGACAGAAGAAGAAAAATTTTGCATACTGCAGCATATTTCGGAGGAACGTGCTGCAATATATGCTAAGTTTTTTTCTTTAAATAACTGACTCTTAAGTAAAAATCTATTAATTTTCTGAATTTTGTGTGCTGTTTGGAAACTGTTTCTATATATAGGACTTTCAACGCGTAGAGAGTGGACAGATTATATATTTAAAGTTTTTGTTTCTCTTAACCTAACGATTAAAAAAATTTCCTACTTTTTTTAATTTTAATGTTGATTGCCTTTCGTAGAATGTTTAATATTATTTAGAAAAATGTTTTTACTGGAAATGTATTAAATTGAAATGTATTAAATCTTTTATTAGTTTAACATTACTTTCGGAGTCAAAAATTTATGATGCGATCTCTTTTGTACTAGGTCCTAATCAAAGTACTTTTTAAAACATTATAAAAAATGTTGATTTGCTTCAATGATTGCAGTTATCCAATTAATTGGAAAAAATTACTAAACTTTGTGAATAACTTTTAAAGTTATAAATATTAAGGCACTAAAAGAGATTGTAATTACAATTTGATATTTCTGTGAATTAATATATTTTTGAAGAAAACTATAGTTTTTCCCGGTGATTAAATAATGATATTAAATGATAAATCCTGGTGATTAAATGTGTCTAAGTAAATGAATAAACATGTAGTCTTATATAAATAATGTCTAACACAAATGTTTTGTATAATACAAATGTCTTACATAAAACTGTAAACGGTTAACACATATAAATGACAAAATAGAAAGTACGATTAATTAAGACAATGAAATAAAGATATTAAAATTTTCATAGACAATACGTTAAAATTTACCAACAACAATTATCATAAAATTATCAAACCTTCAAGAATTCATACTGAAAACAAATTAACAGATAAATTACTTCATTTTAAAATAGAATAAAAATATTTATTTTAACAGTTACTGTTCAGAAACACAAGTCATTAAGTTTATGAGAAATTACAAAATTGCTGATAATAATTTATACTATGTGTCTTACTAATTAATAGTTACTCACTAAAACACCAGCATTTGTGTAAAATATATAAAATGAACGAGGTCTTAAACGCATTAAAAAATATGATTGGAATTTTAAATATTTACTAGTTATATTTTCAAATAATATAGATTTTAATCGTAAGTATAACTTCGCAATTAAATGTTATATGAAGGCAATTTGTTCGCAAATTAAAAAATAAAATTGAACAATTTTTTAAATGCTTTAGAGCTTTATCGTTATTCTCTGAAATTCATGCGTTCGCGTATGTTAGATACAATGAGCAAAGTTCTAATCCCATTAAATATATAATTGAAATTTTGAATATATTCTAGTCATATTATCGAATAGTATAGATTTTATACCCTAAGTATAAACTTCATAGTTATTAGCTATATAAAAGCATTCTATTTGCAAATTTTAAATCAATTTAATTTGGATTTGAATTTTCAATAAGACCTTTAGAGCAAATTTGTTATCTGTCGATAAAAAAATTGCCGTGTATCACCGAGCTTGAACAATTTATCCGTCTTTGATATCAGTACTGGGTTTAAATCCAAGATATGGCACAATCCTTACCTGAAATTTCATTTTGTCTGAAGGGATGTTTACTTTGGAATACCTGAATCCGAATATGATTGCCATGATACCTAGGAAACCAGCTTATATACTCAGCCTCAAAAACTATGTGACTATTTCCTTTGTCTTCCCCCCTTTCTCCAATAACTTGACAATGCTTCCCCCTTGTTCTTTACTCCTCCCCCCAATTTCCGGTGAAGAAAGTAATAGTGACCCCGTCGGACCAACTAGGCCAAAGATTGGACAAATCATTATCTCTTTGCCGGATCTCAAACTTTTTTTTCTACTCATTATTTCGATCATTTTTTTTTCTTCTTCAACCATTTGCAAGAACGATGAAGCTCACTTTCGTTTTCATTTGGTGGCGTGTTGAAGCGTCTTTGACCTCCTTGCCAGATCCTTCCTATGAGTTTTTTTTAATTTTTTTTTATCGTTCGTACGTGAATGATAGCTACCATTGAACAATAATAATTTTTTTCTTGACTTTGTTGATGACTTGGTTTTAAATCATATCTTGCGCAGTATTTATTTTTGTTTGTTTACTTTTCTTGTGCTCTTGTCAGACGGCCCCTCCCAAGTCATTTTCATGAACGTGCTTTACTGAAATGAGCAGAATTTACTTAATTGAAATAGATAAATTTATTTGCTATTGAATTGAAGGTTTTCGAAACTAATTATTTTTATTAATATTTTAACACGATAATTTGATGAATTTTTTTTTTAATATTTAGTTTTGTAAATTTCGAGTTACTGTACAGGAATAAAATTTGATTTGTTTCATGAAATTACGATTCACATTGTACAAATTTATTTAACAATGCGAAATAAATTTCCAAAATTAATAAACCAAGATTTGTAAAATTGATGGCCATTATATGGTATTTTTAAATTTAGTAATTGCTCCTTGAAAAAATTCACAGAACAATTTTGACACTTTTGTTTTAAATTATGGTTTAAATTTGTAAAATTCGCGATATGTAAATTTTTTATATTTATTTAAATTTCCACTTTGGACTTTTTTTTTAGATTCATATACGTTTTTTTAATTATATACGTTATTCATATACGTTTTTGTATTATATTATATATTGTTCATATCCGTCAGTTGAGATTTATAGGTTCCTTTTAATTAGTAATTTATATATTTCGAAACTTATATTAATGATCCTTAACAACGTTAGAACGTTTTCTACGCTTAATTCTTCAGTACAAATTTTTAAAAACCTTTTCATTGTTTTGTAAAAGACGATGTAAATTATCAGGCTAATAAAAAAATTTCTTTTATATTATTGTCTGGAAAATTATTATTATTATTCTTTTCTCTCTATCTTTAAGTTTTCTTAGCAATAAAAAGAGCCCTAGGATTTATAAGGTATTTCCAAATCAAATATAGTTTTGTCAGAAAGCACATAACTAGAGAGTTTGGAATTCAAATTTATTTTTTAAGCACATGAGAATTAGAAATAGATGGCTTTAAAACTAAAACTATTAATATTAGAAAAATTTTTTAGTTAAAAATTAATGCAAAAAGAGGTTTTTGAAACAGTATAAATTCCTTACAAATTAAGAATGTTGAAGATACTTTTGAAATTATATCAAATCATTTACTATCATATACATATGTGGTTTTACTCTTTTAATAAAAATTGTATCGAAAACTATATTGAATTTACGCAGGATAATTTCTTTAAAAATATTTTAATTTCCAAAATTTTTCAAAACTTCGATATCACGAAATTCTATGAGGTTAAAATATTTAAAGTTAATATCAAAAAGATAACAATTTTAAAAAAAATGCACGAATATCTTTAAAATACTTCCATTCAAAAAAGAAAAATAAACGTTAACGTAACGTTGCGTAAATGTTACCTTAACTAAATCAAATCACCCATCATTATTTCAAATGTACCGTATTCTTATATTTCTAGATTTTATTGTATTTGGGGTGTACTTTGTTTAACACAGTTATCAATGTTGTGGTGGGAAACATTTCAACAAAGGAATGCTAAAAATTCCACTATTTCATGAAGACTTATTTTATAAAATAATATTCAGAAGTATTATAGAAACTTTTGTTCCAAACTGCATTTGTTTTAAAGTTCTCTGGGCTATAATCACTTTAATATCTTACTTTAAATTCATGAAAGAAATTTGAAGCTAAATGAAACAACCATTTTTACGAGCTTTTTAAACGTTTCTATTAAATTTAAGCAGTTATCTTCAACGGGAAAGGGTAATTGAGAATGCGAATCCTTGCTAAAATGCCATGAACAATACAAGAAGAAAGAAAAGATTACTGCTTACATTAATTTTGCTCCAACATCCCAACCTTAATAGAGAAAAAAAATGGTACATTAAGAAGTATTGTACAGAATTGAGCAAAATTTACAATTAATAAAATAATAATTTTACTACTTATGGAACAAAAAAACTACAAAATATACGAAAGCTTGGAATTTTACCGATGAATGAGAGATTGTATATGACATACCCCCTCGTCTTAATCATGGCGAAAATCAGAAAACTTTGCGTCATTATTCTGATTCAAAATAGACCATACTTAAATAAGTATATAAGCATGATAATATCAGCACCCACCCAACTACAACACTAAATTAAGAATAAATATCATCGCATGTAAATAAACAGCTCTAACCGATTGCACTACGTCATCAATATGAAAAAATAGAAACGAAACTTTGAAACAGAATCTTAAGAATGATTAGATGAATCAGAAATCTATTTTCGAACTCTGTTTTCTTTTCATTTAAAAATGTTTTTTAGAAGCCTTGATAATAAATATCTATTTCATTTTCAAACTTGTAAACTTTTACTGCTTTTGTACAATGCGATAAAAAAATCAATATTTTGGTGGTTTACTACATGATAAAAATGCATCACGAAAAAATATGTACAGTAAATATGTAATTGAAGAAGTAAACAAAAATATTATAATATTAATATTATAAAATTAAATATTATAAATAAATATTATAATATTAAATATTATGAATAAATATTATAATTTTAAATATTATGAATAAATATTATAATTTTAAATATTATAAATAAATATTATAATATTAAATATTATAATATTAAATATTATAATATTAAATATTATAAATAAATATTATAAATAAATATTATAATATTTTTATTTACTTCTAATAATTTACTTTAAATTTACTTTAAAATATTATAATATTTTAAATAGTTTTTGCTTGTTGTTAAACAATTTCAAACATGTTATTTTTAAATATTTTGCCACTATAATAATATTGAGTTTCTCACACATAGTAAATATCTTAGATTTTTTCTTTAACGGAAATGATAAAAACACATATTAAAAAAATTGGAACAAACACTTTTAATAAGTATTCGGTGATACTTCCAGAATGATCGTAAATTCAATCTCTCAGGGTATGAGGATTTCGAATGCATCAGCGAAACTCAGAATTCGGCGAAGCACGTTTTTCAGCAAGATAAATTGAATAATAAAATGAATAATGTAGAATGAAAGGATAGAATGAATATTGTTCACGTGTTTGAAATGAGTTTACGTTTCTCTAAAAATTGTAATAAATATTATATGATTTTAAAAATGTTACAATTTGATGAAAACGGGTTTCTATAAAATAAAGTTGTTGCAAATTTTTCTATAAAAACTATTTTCGTAGTGTTGGATCTAACAGAATTTTCTCTTTCTCCGAAAAGTCTACATCTTCTTCGAAAGTAATGTAATTTATTTTTAAAAATTGTTTCAAAATTTGATAATGATTTTTAAAGATTTTTTAAGATGATTTTAATTTAAAGCCTTTTTAAAATCACTTTTAATGATTATTTAAAAAAAAAATACGCACTGTTTTTTTAGACGTTTTTTCAAAACCTTTTTCTTAATGTTGAAAAACATGATTGGGACTTTCTGCATTTTCATGAGTTAGCAAGTTAGGCGATTTTAAAGTACTGTTCTCAAACCTATTGTTACCTAGTAGTTTAAAAAAATTATGATCACTTAGCTATTTGATAAACATGGTACACTAAAAAATTCTGAATCAAATTACGGAACAAAATACAGGAGTATTGAGATAGAAAAGTTTTGCTATACCATAAACTTTACTGTAATAATTTCAGAAAATTTACTAAATCTCACTAATTAAATAAATATTACTATAAAAATTCCGTTATAATATTTTACGGTAAAAATGGATTTTAAAGTAAGAAGGATTATAGTGTAAAATGGATTTAAGGGTAAAATAGATTTTACGGTAAAATGGATTTTATCATAAAATGAATTTAACGGATGATGCACCCAAAGTGCTGGTACTTACACATAGCATAATTAGATCAGGAATTTTTTTTATAGCGCCTGTGGACATTACTAAATTAGTATGAAAAAAGCAATTTGAAAATACTTGATTATAGGTTTTATAACTTTATGTTGTACAGGTATATAGATTAGGTAATTGGTTTAGGTTCGTACTTTGTATGTATGGAAAGTATAAACTACATTTATAAACATGTGCGTAATAAAATATTTTTCAACAAATACTGGAAAGACTTTGACTTTGCCCTTAATGAACAATCATGTCTCATATCAAACTATTTTTTGCATGTGCTAGTAAATAAAATTAAATGGTAGTGAAACGAATTTATATGCTCATTTTAAAAATAAAAACACGGATTTCTTAAAATACCTTTATATAATAAATAGTTAAAAAAATTTTTAAACATGAATAATAAAATTAAATAAAGTTTATTTTAAAAATTAACTTTATAATTTAAAAATTGAACTTCCGAAATTTGATTTTCAATCGTTGTAATAAAAGTGCTAGTACCGTTTACAAAAATTACAAAAACTTAAGTAAATTTACAGTGATAACGATTTTTGGTGATTTATAAAAAATTTATTTTAAAATATATGCATGTTTAAGTTCACATGAAAATTCTTTTAAATCTAACTTTACACCAGTAGTATGTGATTTAAAATTTTAAATTTTTTTCTAATAAATTTCAGTTTTTTTAACAACTTTGAGTTCTATAAATCTTAATCATATTTGTGGATGAAAACAAGACTGTATTTTTAGTACATCGCCCAGTATAATTATGGTAAAAAGGACTTTTTCTCATGGATTTGTCTCGTTAATTTCAA